ATTTGATTTTATTACAACTAGGTACATCCATATAATTACATGATAAATAAGAATAAAAGAAGAACATGTTTTATTTTGAAAAATTGAATTAAAAAGGCTGACATTAAACAATGTTTCTTTTGTATGTGGCCATAAAGACAAAATAAAAAAAGCTATATATTGATGGAAAATTACAAGTTATTTACAGAACTAAATACGTTAGGTACCTCCAAAAATTTGCTAAAAAGGATACACAAAAAAAATGTTCAAAACATAATAAAAAAAAAAAAAAAAAAAATTAAAATTATCAGAATCCTTGTCATTTGGTCATTGTCACATTAGTGTTGTAGGATTTTTTACAAACCTATTTAAAATTATCAATATATCATTAATTTTCTTATATATTGAGTTCTTTCTGGTTTTAATTATTTTGAAAAAATTGAATTAAATGGCCAATATTAAAAAATTAATTAGGCTACTTTTACTGGTCCCAATATAATAGACACCAAGTTTTTTACTGGTGTTTTAGAACTAAGAATATATGTATTCATAAAACCAACAATATCCATTCGGTATAACCATAGAACTTGGTGTTCATTTGCTGAAGTAGAAGAAAAACTGAAGTGTTACCAATCCATTATGTACAGTTGTGGAAAATAGCGGAACAATTGCTACAGCTCAGAAGAGAATGACGAATCGCCAGTTCAGCCCTGACATCAAGTACTATGAGTTATGGTACTCCTGTGTGCATGGTGGCAGAAGATGCATAAGTAAATCCCAAGGCCAGCGACCAAACAAATCTACATTCAAGGTTGACTGCCTATACCAGCTGAAACTGAGATCCAGTGAAAATGGACAGAGCTTATGAATATGATGGAGAATGAATAAATGATTTTAACTTGTTTTAACAATTGATGGGGGAAAAAGATTTTAAATTGTCTTAACAATTGATAGTGAAAGTAAATAAATTTCTGTGTGTTGTTATTTTTAATAATACCTGCCTTCATAATAACAAAAATATTTATCGGCAAAATAGACTGGTGGTCTATTTTACCGGGACTGGCAAAATAGTCTCTTCCATTAAAAAATGAATTTGCAAGTTTCAACAATTCAAATATGCACAAATAAATTTTATTTTATTTTCAGTTTGATCTTTTTAAACAATTTAAGATCAATTCACTTTTGTCCCCCCTCACTAGCACAAAATGATTACTATGATCTTTGCATATGTTTCTCCCACAATTATTAGTCTTTAGTTTACAGTAAAGTAATTGTAATTTGCACAATTATGACTAAAACCAGAAACTCTTTGTAGTTATTTGACAGACATATTCAGAAAGCTACTTGGTTAACCATGAGAATTTGATTGGCCTCTTGCTAAATATTAAGAAAAATATTTTTTAGGGTGTTCAAACCCTCTTTGGTCCTATTGTGTGGTTAAGAATAATCTTTTATGAGTGTGGAGTCTATTGTAATTAGTGATTTTATGTTTGAAAGCTGTTAGATGGTCGCAATATGCGAATGAATGGTAGAAAGTTTGGGGTGAAGAATTGGGATTCCATGTAATGTGAAGAAAGTCACAAATTGCGACAATTACTAGTGAACATAAGATGGAATCCAAAAGTGACTTGGACTAGGATCTGACAGAGGCTGGAATGGATTTGCTTCATCTGAAATGACTGATAGATTGACGATGGCCACCATAGATTTCCTCACTCTTTCCCTACACATGTTTGCTAACTGGTGGCCTTGAACTTTTTTTTTTTTTTTTGCTTTTTTTCATTTTGGATTTATATTTTTACAATTTTATCAAGCACAATTACAAATAGTTATTCTGGATAGGAGAAGTGTTAAAGTTGAAAAATATTGTTTTATCGCTGGAGTTAGTACCTATTTTTTTCCTCGCCTTTGGTTCCTCAAGCATTCAACAGGCTCAAATCCGTCCCTGTAAATATTGGCACTCATAGTCTCACTGTTTGCATGTCTTCCTGTGTTATTTGCAATGATGTCATCATATAGTATGGCAGAGTATACATAGGGGTAGGTTATGGCGGGTTAAACATTTAGAGCTTATATTTATGGGCCAGATTTTGGCAGGTTGAATGCTAAAGGGTTAACTTGAAATTGCTTCCAACTTCGATGCCACAATCTGAGTTTTGACCTTTTAATATAACACATGTATAGTTGCCTAACTTGTCTGTAGTTTCACTTTGCTACGATTAACCTGCAGATAGAAGTTTTTAATAATGGTCCCAAAGCAATAGTAATGCTAGAAACTCATCTGTGCTAAAAAGAAGCCATAAATTGTCTTTTTAAGTGAAGAGGTCAAAGGGGTTTTTTTTTTTTTTTTTTTTTTTTTTTTAGGTAAGAAAGAAAAACATATGCTAAAGTTGGCAAGAATTATAAGAGCATCTGTGAAACGATTTTTATATTGTTACAATTGTTCTATTATTAGTAATTTTTATCAATTCCTTATTTTGTTTAATAATATCTCCGGTAAAAACGAATCTTCAATCCATCACATCACTTTTATTACAGCATATTGTTAAAATTGTTTTATTATTAATTATTCCTGTTAATCTCTTATTGTATCTAATTTATAAGTTTTGCCATGAATCTCTGTATCAAAAAAATGTCATATCAAACTCTAATATTTTCTTGGGACTCTGTGTGGGACAATGTTGAGTTTGCTGAATAATAGTTAACAAATTGATCTTTCACACTATTGACTATTGTACTGAGTTTGATCCTTACTGGGTGCCCCAAACTTGTGGACTTCTGACAGACTAAGCTACTTAGTTGTAAGTAACTTACAGGCATCAACCATGATTTGATGCTTAGTAAATTAGTTGAGCTAGATTGTTGGCTAGTAATTTTGATCCACACTTAGTACTGTACTACTATGACCTTGTGCTAGACTTAGGGAATATCTTCCAAAGAACATGTTTAACAAGAATGTAACAGTTACTGAAGATATATTAGTAGCATAGTGGTTATCAGCAAGGGCAATGGAAAGCAGGGTTCAAATTCTGACTGAGACCATACTAATATGCTTAGGAAAGTATTGAATTCATCGCAACCTACTAGCATAGACAAAATAGTAGGGCAGACTGGTTACTTGGCTGGCTACCAGTTTAGGAGAAAAACAACTCTAAATTCAAATCTGGTTGATCAAAGAGCTAGCAACTCCACCTTGTAAAACTTACTCTGTATTGAGATTGCATTTATGTCACCTTGCATGGTGCTATTGTGACCCCTATGCCTTGCAAAACGTTTGCTGCACAACAGAGCTTATCAGTCTTACATTTGGTGTGATGCTTGTAGCTTGCTTGCTTCTGTTGCCTGTGTAAATATTTTTTTTTATGCTGATGATGTTACTGAATGACTTACTGTTTGTTAACCTGGTCTTGAATCAGTTCCAAACTGTTTTTCTGACAAAAACTTTTTTTTTTTTTTTTTTTTGTTTTACCACAGTAAATCTGTTGTTGATTAGTGTACTGTGCTTGTCTTTGAGAGCAGGTTCTGAGGGATTTCTCTCTCTCTCTCTCTCTCTCTCTAAATAAGACCTGGGAGTGTTGAGAACAAGTGATTCCTCTAATAATGGAAATGCTCTTCACATCTCTCCTACCATTCTGCTTTGTTTATCAGCTACTTGTAAAACCAAGTATTCTCACTGGAATGAGTTTGGCCAAAATAGCTTTAGCATTCTGTTCTTTGTTTTGTATATATACTCAACTAACTTTTTTTTTTTTCTTTTAACTTGATTTGTTGAACTGCTATTGGTTTAAGAATAAAAAAAAAAACACAAGCATCATGGCATATAAATGGATCTGACTGTGAAAAATCTTAAAAGCCATAGCTGATGATGTGTATTAGGAACATTCTTTGCAGTTGAATTATTCCCAAGCTAAATTCTAAGTAATCTTATAAAGTGCAAGTCATCTTACAGAATAATTTCTAATGGTAACTCTATCATTAGATGGCATTAAAATGGGTGTATAATATTTGATTTACCAAAATAAAGCCCATGTTGTCTTAGAGAGTAATTTCTAATAAAAACGTAGATGGCATTATGTCAGGGTTCAAATATTCAAGAGAGTAGTGAATGGATTCATAATATTGTATTTCCTAAAATAAAGCCTAAGTGGCTTATTGTATTTTTTAAGATGCATATTTTTTTTTTTACTTGTGTGTTTTTGTTTTTTTTTTTTTTTTTTGCTCTGTTTAATTTCTTGTACCTTTCCTATAAGCTAAGTTCATATCAAATCTAAAACTCATTTTTTTATTTTCTATATATCAAGTTTGAATGGTTTTAGCTGAAAGTTTATATTCAGATATTTGTCTCTGATTTTCAATTCATGCCAACATTTCATTGCACTCTTTCTTCCCTGTCCAATGCTTCCTATTAACCTTGACCCCCCAACTACCTCCCCACCCCATGATAACCACACTGAAAAAGATTTAAAATCTTTGCAGTTTTCCTAGTTGCATCTGTCAGTTACTGGTTTTTAAAATGTTGACAGATTTTAACACAAGGCCAGTGTAATCCCCACTCCTCAAAAAAAAAAAAAATAAAAAAAAAAGATGAGCAATGTTGTTTATTGCAGCCATTACTGTGTGACAGGGTTTTCAGGAAAGTGTAGGTAAATCTTTTAATTGAAATTACTTCTCTGCTCTTGTCTTTGTGAATTTCAAACAAAAATGGTGATAGGAAACTTTTTTTTTTCTATTACTGCATTTCCTTCTCTAAAAGTTGTACAAAAACAAAGAAAAAAAAATGACAAATATTTCATGTTATTATGAGTAAGAGATTATCAAAATTTGACATGGGCAGCTATAGGGCTTGTGTGAATATGCCCTTTTCAACCATGTCTTGCTTGATAGTTAACTTTTTCCGTAAGAATAAAAAAAAAAAAAAAACATTTTTTATGCCTCACCTGTTTGAGGCATAGTCATTAAAAGAAAAAAAAAAAAAGGCAACTTTAGAAAGAGATCTCTACTTGACCCACTTCCCAAAATCTTATGGCCATACCACAGTGAAACACTGGTTCCCCATATGATCACCAAAGTTAAGCAATGTCGTGACTAGTCAGTACTTCGATGGGTCACCGCTTAGGAATACCAGATGCTTTAAGCTTAGATGTAAGGGTGGTGTAATGAATAATAGCTCAAAATTGTTAATTGGATAGCAAAATTGCAATCAACCGCTTCTCCCTCAGCTATGGGTTAATTAGTAAGATTTTTATCACTAAAATCCTGGTTATCCCCCCTCCTTCCCCCAGACCACCAAAAAAAAAAAAAAAATCCTTACAATTTAAAAATATTTTTGAATAACTTGGAAAGGGTTGACAAGCTGTAAAAAACGAATCAACCAACCAAAGTCATACCAATCCTTTTTTTTTTTTTTTTTCCTTTCTTTGTGATGATACTTTTTCAGTGTGCTCTCATAGGTGATAAGTGGGGAAAAATCTACTCCTTTTACTTTTTTTTTTTTTTTTTTTTCTTCTTTCTATTCGGCTGTTGGCAATGTGTTTGTGTTTTTTTTCCTTCCTTCCTTCCTTAACCACCTAAGCTGTTCTCTCTAACTAACTAGAATTACTCTTAGTGTTCTCTTTAGGTCACAGACATAATTTTTTTTTTTTTTTTCTTTTTTTTAGGTTAGGATATTGTTTCCTGGTATATTGACACACCTGTGGGAATTCTATAATTATAATATCCCCTCTCCCTCTTTACATTAAAATATTTTTGCTTATTTCTACTCTTTTCTACTTGGTTAATTATTAGCCTTCATACACAAGATATGTTTACCTGAATATATATCAACTCTTGTAAAGAACAGAGAATAATTACCAGCTGGACGATGAACGTTGCTTGATTGTAGATCGCCTGACCTCACCTGGTCATTTAACAGGAGATGAAAACAATGAAATAATGGCTACAGAGAATATTTAGCAGACTGACTTGTTTTGGTACAAAAAAAAAAACAGCAGACTAAAATTGTTAGACTCAATTTTAGTGTCGTGTCTATTTTTTTGCTTTTTAATAATACCTTTTCTTCCTACTAAATACAAAATAATTGGATTTTTTTTTTTTTTTTTTTTTTTTTTTTTTCCTTTGTGACTTTTTCCAGTGAATACAAAGAGATCTGAATTTCTGTGATGAAGTGATCATTATTTACATTAGGACTAATATCCTCCACTTTGTTGTCATCGACCCTGGTCACCATTAGTACAGATCAGTTATTGCTTGCCCAATTTCCACTGAGTCTGTGCAGCCCAAGGATTGAATTCACAATTACCACCAACAAATTCATGAGCCAATGCTTTAATCCATAAGGCTATTGTCAACCACAGTATAGCCTCATTAACCACTACACTTCACCATGATGTGCCTGGTTAGAACTGGTGTTGAGTTACTAAACCTATATCTAATTCTTTTTCTTCTTCAGGACATAGGCAATCATGGCTCTCCACAGATTCCTTTTCTTTGTTCTGTGAATTGCTCTTGCCTTCTTGTGATAGTGGGGTGGTTTCCCATTGTTTTTGTCACACTTTTGAATTCAGGATTGTCCGCCTTCTATCTCTGTTACAGAACCTATTCTACTGTTGTTTAACCCATAGCAGTGGGGATGGATTCATGCCTTTCTAAAGGATGTTGGTGTGTAAGTGAACATAAGGAACTAAGCTGGAGTTTGAACCCAGTTCACCGATTCCACTTTCAGTGCTAATAACCATTAACACTATCTGCATGTCCTTACGTAAGGTCTTAATGAAACTAATCTGTTCAAATGATTTTTTTTTATCTTTATTCTGTCTTCAAAATGATAAACATTACAGCCTGCTCCTCATTTACATTCTGCCAGACTCTAAATTTGTAGTTTCCAAAAAATTTTTGGTTGCCCCCGCCAATACTCAAAAAAAAAAACTGTCCTGAACCGTCAATGTATAGTTGATCTTTGATTGGATTTTCTTGGTGCTAGTATTGCCTGTCAAATGAGTATCTTAGTATTTTCCATAATAAGTTTTATATAATTAGGACAAATGGTAAAGTGAAGTCACCAGCCCCCTGGATCTTTTTGCTCCCTTTGGGAAATACTGCTCTAAATTAACTCGTCTGTATGAAATTTGTTAGAAAACTGACCTTGGTGAGTGACAGAATTTTCAATTCTGGGTTTTGCTAATGTCGTGTCTTTCTTTCTTTTCAGTGTATCTCTCTGTTGCAGAAGATGAATGTGGGCACGGCCCATAGCGATGTCAATCCAACGCATTCCTATTTGAACAGTAAAGGAATCTGGCTAACTTACATCATTCTCATTTTGCTTGCCCATCTGATGTTGCTAAGTGTTCCCTTCTTCACAGTACCAGTGGCATGGACATTGACCAATGTTGTCCATGATGTGGTGAGTTTCAAGCTCTCTCTTTTAAAACTAATTTCTCTATCGGTACAGTAATTCCTCGATTATCGCTGCTTCTGTTGTCTGAACATCATTTCCTGACTGCTGAGACAGCTAACTCTGTAGCTTTACTTTTCAATACGTTTTGTTATACTTTGTGATCATATGCTTTGAGCGTCCTGGGTAAGACTATATACTATGTCCAACAGGAAGGTTTTGAGGAGCGTGGAACCATCTCTTAATTGCTGGTGTTCTCAGGTCCGCCTTGACCTGTGGTGGTAGCACCTGTTTAGGGTCTCAACTATAGGCAAATAGTTAACTCCCAAGCTGGGGTCAAAGCACTATGAAGGTGTAAAAATAGGTTTTAATACCTGAAATACTTGTAAAAAAAAATTATTACTGCAAATAGATTTTTGAAAAAAAAAATATTATCAACAATAAAAATTTTGTTGGCATTAAATAACCTGTTGAGGTTGATATGCCGTAAAACAACCCAAACCAAAGCATATGCTTTGAAATTTAGGGCACCTCTGTGTGGTATAATGGTTAGCAACTTTGTTTCGCTTGAACAATTATGACTGGGTAGTGAGTTCAATCCCCACTGTGTGCTCCATAATTCTGGCCTTGTACCACATCTAAGCTACACTTAGAGAATAACCATATGTGTTGAAATTGAAGTGGCTTTGAATTCAAATAAGACAATGAAAAGGAATAGTATTATCGGTTTGGGAAAACCTGATTGTTTGTAAAGTGTTTTGGAAGAAAATTTTGAAAGCCAAGAGCGATTATTCTCACTAATGTAGCAGAATAAAATCTGGAATAATTATAGGATTTTATTTAAGAGCATTGCAGAATCTGCAGTCTTCAATATTTACAGGAAGAAGAAATATACACAGAAAACATCTTTTTAAAAAACCCTCAGATATCCTTACTATTTTATCCCAATGCTGAAAGAAAGGCGTGCAAAATATACAACAATAATAAGCTAGATGAAAGAAGGCATATATTCCCTACAAAATTGTTAATGTCTCCAATTCAAAATAATTTATTCATTCTTAACAATGTCAAAATAATTACAACATTCAAAACTATTATGGATATATTCAGAACCAAAAATATCCATAAAAACAATAATTCTGAAGCATATATATATATATATATATATATATATATAATAGAATACAAATCCAAATTTACCTCATTTGAATAGCTACTTCAACCATGAAGTCCTCTGTTGGCATTGTAAACTCAGAAGTGTGAAAGAATAAAATAGGAACTTAAAATTTAAACATTTAAAAAATAAAAAAGGAATGGAAATGGGAGGCAGCCGATGGGGCGTGGGGGAAAAAGACTAAGTTAAACCAAGTCCCAGTATTATGGGAGTGGAAGTGTCTGGCTCAAAGAGACAGTTAATATAACCTTGACCGATATTTTAAGATATTAAGTCAGGTTAACCTTATGGGTTTTTTTTTTTTTTTCTAAATATCTCCTTTCTACTTTTGAACTATTTTAAAATGGTTAACTTAAGACCTTCTATTACTTAAAATAAATACTTATAAAATTAAAATAACGGCAATCTTTCACTTTCATATGTTTCAGTTTGATTACGATTCTAATTGCTTTTTGTGACAAACACTATTGAGGAGTGAATATAGTTAAAATAATGATGTTTTAAAAGCTCTTTTGAAACTCCTTAGTTACTCGAGCATGTCTTTTAGATTTATTTACGTTCAGTGGGATATAAACGTATAGAAACTACCGTGGCCACAAAGTGAGGGATCAGCTTATATATTGTGTAGAATTGATCCCCCATTTTATATCCACATTATAATTTCTTGTTTGTTTATCAAATTCTGATTAGGTATAGATCCGCCTCTTCTCCTTCAGTTATGGGTTAATTAGTAAAACTTGTATCACTAGAACATTATTATCTGCAAAAGAAAAGTTCTTGTAATCTAAAAAGATATTTCTGGCTTTAAGTAACCTGCAAAAAGTTGATTAAGCCATAAAAAAAACAAAAAAACAAATCAATCAATTTTTATTTAGAAAACAAATGCAGACAACAATTCCTAAAGTATGAGTTTCCCTGCACATGAAAATGAATAAGAATATTTATGTGTAAATGCAGGGTGATTTATGTGTGTAAATGCAGGGTGATTTATGTGTGTAAATGCAGGGTGATTTATGTGTGTAAATGCAGGGTGATTTATGTGTGTAAATGCAGGGTGATTTATGTGTGTAAATGCAGGGTGATTTATGTGTGTAAATGCAGGGTGATTTATGTGTGTAAATGCAGGTGGGTGTAATTGATTTATGTGTGTAAATGCAGGGTGATTTATGTGTGTAAATGCAGGGTGATTTATGTGTGTAAATGCAGGGTGATTTATGTGTGTAAATGCAGGGTGATTTATGTGTAAATGCAGGGTGATTTATTTAGGGTGATTTAAATAAATGCAGGGTGATTTATGTGTGTAAATGCAGGGTGATTTATGTGTAAAAATGCAGGGTGAGGGTGATTTTATGTGTGTAAATGCAGGGTGATTTACCCAAAAGGTTTAAATGGAAATTAAGTGGTAATTTTTTTTTTTTTTTTTTTTTTTTTATGCAGAAAAGGAAAAAGTAAAATTTACCTCTTTATTTTTGTATTCAGTTTTAAAACTTGAATGTTTTAGCAGCTTTAATTTTATTTCTGAAATATTTCAATGATGTTTTTATTATTTTTATTATGCTATTAATAGCTATAAGTGATGATAAATTTAAAACAAAAAAACATTGGGGTACTGTTTAATTTTTTTTTTTTTTTTAAGATGAGACAATTCCAGGATGATGGAAAAGTTAGTCTGGAGCCCTGTTTGTATCCTAATAAATAGAAAAGGCAGATATTAACATAGTAGAATTGGTAGATTCCTTTTTTATACAGTATTTTGTGATCTTGCAAAGAATCTCTTATCATTTTTTTAGAAATGATACCAACAATGTTGCTTTCCAAATATGGATCCAGTTTGTAAGGTACTTGCGGGAATATCATATTTTAAAGGATTCCATTTTCACACCAAAGTTTTTTTTTAAATATCTTTAAGTTCGATTAACATGGGTAAAGGTAGCTTTTGAATATTTGCAAATAAGAGGAAAGAAAGAATTATCAGAATCTGGGTAACATTTAAATCTTTCTCTACAAATACTTGGTAATTGTTTGAACAAAAATTGCTATGGTATCTAGACTTTATGAATTTAAGTGCAATACTAGACTGGATACAGTCTTATCAATTCACAATCGAACTGACTATATGTAATCATAAGTTCTATGCTAAAAGTTTCTTGCACTTCTCACTTGAGGAACTCTACTGGCTTCATGCTTTCCTGCCAACTTTGATCTTCAAGAATTTTCTTGATTACTCTTCTATTATTCTCACTTAATAATGTTTCTCGTTTTTTCTTATTCTTTCACACTTAGTAACCCCCTTGTGTCTTAGTGGTTTTAATACCTTGCATGGAGTGAAAAAAAAAAATTTAAATAAAATAAAATGACTGACCATGGTAAAATTCAAACCTTAAAGGACAATTGGAGATTTAAATGTGTTGAAATGTACATATTATAGTGTAAGTCCTAGAAACAGGCTCTTTAGGTGACTCATGAAGTATTAGCCTTGTACCATATTTTTTTTATTATCAAACTTGGGTGAAATCTTTCAAAAATGACAAACAAGCAAAAGCTAATTTATGACCTCATGACTAAATGTAAGCAATTTGCTGATTTATAAATGTAAACAATTTGCTGATTTATAAATGTAGGCAATTTGCTGATTTATAAATTTTAATGAAATTGATTTTTTTTCTTCTTCTTCTTCTTCTCATCCCTATAAAGGAAATGACATTTTTTTTTTTTTTTTTTTTTTTTTTTTTTTAATCTCTATCTTGCTGGATCTAATGAATTTTGAAGTCAAATTTATTTTTAATTTTTTTAAATAACAGGAAATTCAGAATTTCAGTCTGGGGCAAATTTGGCTGTAAATTTGTAAATTGTCTGAAACTCTTGGACAGTTTATTATTTTTGGTGTTTTGACATCACTCATTGCTTGCACTCCACGTCTTGAATAAACTCTGCTTCCTTTCAGGCAGACAGTGTGGGCGTAATCAAATGGAAATCTATCGCAGACAACAAGCTGTGTGCAAAGATAGCACCGCAGAGTCATGTGAACTGGTTCAGTTTTGTAGTCCTCTTGGGGTGTTAGAATTTCTTAGCCAAACTTGCCTCTTTTCTTCTTCTTCTTCCATCAAGTGAAACTAATGAAATTAGTTATTATCAGTGTACAGTGTTTCTACTTGTAGCTTTTCTCTTGAACTTATATCCCGTAAGACATGATTGTATCAATGAGGCATTGTTATGCCTGCTTCTTGTGGCATAAAACTTGAAAAAAAAAAAAATCCTACATTGTAAAGCGTTAGTCAATCTTCATCCGTTGTGCATCAAGGAAGAAAGCTGACAATTCTTGTCTTCACCTGATCACTTAAGCAATGTCAAGCTTGGTCAGTACCTAGATGGGTGACTGTTTGGGATTACCAAGTACTGTATGCTTGGATGTGCAGCTGGTGTAATAAATAACTGCTCTAGATGAGAAATTGTTGAGTCGAGTTTGTTAGATTTACTTATGCAGCTACCCTTGGGGGTCATCTTGAATCGAAGGGAGATACAATCCACTCCTACCAACACCGATTATGCCTGCATGGTTGGGTAATGATGCATTCCCTGGGGAAGGCCTACATTCAACAAAGGATCTTCACAGGCCATTAAAAAAGAATTATGTTGGAATGAAGATATGCTGCCTAAACATATGCACCCCCCTCCCCGTATGTATACACACACACACACACACACACACACAAGGAAAATTTATATTTTTTATTTAACTACTTTTTTTTTTTTTTTTTTTTCACTTTTATTGTTTCAGTTAATGTTCATGATGTTACATGTGACAAAGGGAACACCCTGGGAAACTGCGGACCAAGGTAAAGCCCGAATGCAAACTCAGTGGGAGCAAATTGATTATGGTCAACAATTCACAGCTACCAAGAAGTTTCTTACCACAGTACCTATTCTTTTTTGTGAGTACTTTTTTTTTTTTTTTTTTTTTTCCTTGAGGAGGTGGGGGACACTACATAGACCCTCCCCCTCCACCACTCTCTTTAACTCATCATGCCCCCCTGCGATGAGAAATTATCATGATTTACATTCAAACTGGTCACAACGTTTCGGCCTTTGTGCTCTCCAGCCGTCTTCAGTGTCTGGGTAACTCTCAGATAATTCTTGAATCCGGGTAAATTTTTCATGTTGATGTCTCCAAATTCAGTCTCTAGGTTGACTAGTAGACTTAAACTTGGTGAAAATGGTTCATGATAACTGGGCAGTACAAAATCTATCCCAACTTAGTGGAATAAAAACAATCTACCCCTGTGGATTAAATAAAAGGTTCAGTTCCCTGAAGAAGGCTTGGAGTGCACAACGATTGAACAGGCATGATGACAACAAAGATGGTGTACATAAAAGAACCAATGAAGATGAAATAGAGAAGTCAAAGGAGCAAAAGAGAATTTGATTGCTAATATCTTTATGTAATGACAGAAGTTCAAAGAGTTAAGAAATCAACAGAATCGGTTGGTAGAGATAATGGCTAAGAAAACCAGAAGGAAATGGATGAAAAACATCACACACATTGGAAATCTTGTCAAATTAAAAATGTTCAAAGCAGTAAAAATGTTAAATTTGAAGAATTTTGAGAAAAAAAAAAAATTGTTAGAGACAATAATGAGAAGCTTATCTCCAATATTAAATATCCGAGATGGCAAGACGTTGTTTCAAAGACCATTTCTATAATGAGAATATTAAGTACCTTACCCCCTTGGTTAACCAAAGAAAGTTTTGAAACGTCTTACAGCTGAAGAAGTAAGAAAATATGGTAAACAAGGAATTTTTTGTGCCAGCCAAAAAAGTGTCAAAAGATTTTTTTTTTTTTTGTTTTCTTTCCCATGACACTGCTATTATTTTAACTACCTTCACTCCTTGGCAGTGTTTACTGTTTTAAAAATGCGATGATTACAATTGTCATAAAATCTAAACAAAAATGAAATTGATTTTTTTTTTTTTTCTTGAGAATTTACAACAAAAAATATTAAACACTATTAGATTGTTTATTTACAAGAATAATTTTATATTTACATTCTAAAAAGTAATACAATTTAAACTAATGTAATGCAATATTTATCATTTACCAATTTATAAAGAAATAAACATGAAAGCAATTTTTATTCATATATTTATATATTTATAAAAGTTTACTAAATTATTAAAATATGTGAACCAACTATAAGGAAATCTTTATTTACCATTGACAAGTTTGAATCATTTGGCAATTAACCAATGTTTGCCAACCATTCCAATAAATAATAAGTAAATAGTGTTTATTATATTTTTTTTAATCAATTCTCAAAAACATTTTAATCAACATCTTGGGTTTAAATTATGTGAGCGTCACTGATGCAGATGTGGAGCTTCCATTGATGAATTTGATGTGCATCCTCTCTCCTGTCGTCGTAGTCCAGGCCGCTTTCCAAGGCCTTTAGCAATAAACAACATCATTGGAAGAGGTCTGGATGCAACTGGATTTGCCCTCCCAAATTGAACACATAGGCCTCGACTGTGGTGAGAGAAAACAGCTGGATGGGATTAACATTTTCCCTTTTAAAGTGGGGAAGTCATTGATTTGGGATGTGACTTTTAATGTTAATTTTATCAGGTCTGAGGTTGAGACAGGGTCTGTTGCCTTGGACACGGAGATAGAAAAAAAAAAAGTAGTTAAATATTCTTCTCCTGTGGGCAAATTGTGGCCAGTGGCAGTGGAGACTTCTGGGGTTATTGGCCCTCGTTCAATGGCGTTCCTTCGGAAGGTTGGCGGGATTGCATCTTGATTAAGGGACGAGCCTTGCAAAGCAGAGTGACTCTTGCACTATATCTCACTGGTGTGGTGATGGTGTGAGGTAATGCTTTCACCATCATTGCAACTGGCAGAGGAGAGCAAAAAAAAAAAAAAAAAATTAATCATTGCTTGTTAAAATCATAAACATTGCGGAGGATTTAAGGTAGTTAAAATAATAACTGTGTAAATGGAAAAACAGTCCTTTTGACCCCCCCCCCATTTTTTGTGGGCAAGGTGGTCCAAGTTTGCTGAAAAACTATTCAAATGCTCAACAGAGCAGCAGGCCCTGCTAAATTACCAACAGAGTTAGTGAAATCTTCAAAGGAAAGTGCATGCATTCATATGAGAATACGATAAATGTGTTAGAGAATATAGGAGAAAAACTACTATTAAGGAGAGAGAACAATAAAAGAATAAGAACTAAGAAGACAGAAGATCATGATCGACGTTGCATTTAAATTTTTGAAGATCAAATTTCACTGAGGAGCAAGAAGCTGGAAGAGTGTTCCATAACATGAGAAGTGTGATAGAAGAAACTGTTAGCATAGAACTTATGGTCACATCTAGTTGTTTTAACTGTAAAATGATGAGACCTTACTGCCAATCTAGTACTGCGATTAAATTCACAAAGGCTAGGTATCATAGAGGAAAGTTCGTCAGAAAACTTACCATGAAAGTATTTATTAGAAAAGGCAGAGGGAAGCAATATTATGGTGGTGGGAAAGGCACTGTAGGAGAGATGCCAGGTCAGGACCAATAACATTGCAGATTCTTTGGATTTTCTCAAGAATCCCTATAGAAGGAGCATCAGACCAGGCACAGCAGTAATATTTAATGTAAGGATTAATGGTAGACTTAAAATATATTAAAGATGGATTCTGACTAGAAAAATTGTCTGGTATGACACAAGGAACCAACTTTCCTAGCAGCAGACAAACTTAGTAATTGATGCAGTATAATCTTTTCATTTCATGTCTGTCTGGAAAATGTTTGTCTGAAAAGACACATTGGGTCACCCAGTTGGAGGTTAGCCATGCTGATGGAAGGTAAAAAGGGTTCTCTCAGACATTTAAAAGAGTGCCTTTAAAATTAACAAGCCATTCCCTGCCTCATTTGACAACAGAATGTAAATCATTTTTGAGATCAGCTGTTAATGTGGCCTTACAAACTGTTTGAACTTCTTATTAAGAAAGGAATAAATGGTTGTGGTGTTAATCGTTTGAAAACACTATCCAAGATCACCTTAGATAGACTTAAATGTAGCTAAGAAAGAGATCTCTCGTGTTCATGGATGCATATTATACAAATCGAAGCACAGGTGACATTGGGCTCATAAATGGATCACAATGAAAAAACAGAATGAAAAGATCATTGTTTATAAGACGACTTCATATGTCATCATTCTTCAACAGTTATTTGTCAAAATCCTCAAAAGCTTTTCAGTTTTTTAAGAACTTTTAAAGGGGCTTATATTTTTCGTTTTAAATTAAGTCTCTTTAATTACTTTTTAATAAATTATAAAAGCTTTTAACAGATATTGAATAAAACTTTGAGGTTTTTTTTTTTTTTTTTTTTTTTGCTTAATCCATAATCAATCTTTTTTATTTTTTTTTCATTTTCTTTTTGTTTCTTCTCTTTTTATGGTATTTTCATGTTTTTTTTCTTTTCTTTTTCATGTTTTTTTTTCTTTTCTTTTTCATGTTTTTTTTTCTTTTCTTTTTCATGTTTTTTTTCTTTTCTTTTTCATGTTTTTTTTTCTTTTCTTTTTCATGTTTTTTTTCTTTTCTTTTTCCTTTTTTTTTTTCTTTTTTTTTTTCTTTTCTTTTTCATGTTTTTTTTCTTTTTCATTTTCCTTTTTTTTTTTCTTTTCTTTTTCATGTTTCTTTTCTTTTTCATGTTTCTTTTCTTTTTCATGTTTCTTTTCTTTTTCATGTTTCTTTTCTTTTTCATGTTTCTTTTCTTTTTCATGTTTCTTTTCTTTTTCATGTTTCTTTTCTTTTTCATGTTTCTTTTTTTTTTCATGTTTCTTTTCTTTTTCATGTTTCTTTTTCTTTTCATGTTTCTTTTCTTTTTCATGTTTCTTTTCTTTTTTTCATGTTTCTTTTCTTTTCATGTTTCTTTTTCTTTTCTTTTTCATGTTTCTTTTCTTTTTTTCATGTTTCTTTTCTTTTTCATGTTTCTTTTCTTTTTCATGTTTCTTTTCTTTTTCATGTTTCTTTTCTTTTCATGTTTCTTTTCTTTTCATGTTTCTTTTCTTTTTTCATGTTTCTTTTTTCTTTTTCATGTTTCTTTTCTTTTTTTCATGTTTCTTTTTTTTTCATGTTTCTTTTCTTTTCATGTTTCTTTTCTTTTTCATGTTTCTTTTCTTTTTTCATGTTTTTTTTCTTTTTTCATGTTTCTTTTTCTTTTCATGTTTCTTTTCTTTTTCATGTTTCTTTTCTTTTCATGTTTCTTTTCTTTTTTTCATTTTTCTTTTCTTTTCATGTTTCTTTTCTTTTCATGTTTCTTTTCTTTTTCATGTTTCTTTTTTTTTTCATGTTTCTTTTTTTTTTTTTTTTTTTTTTTTTTTTTTTTTTTTTTTTTTTTTTTTTTTTTTTTTTTTTTTTAATTTTTTTTTTTTTTTTTTTTTTTTTTTTTTTTTTTTTTTTTTTTTTTTTATGCTTTTTTTTTTTTTTTTTTTTTTTTTTTTTTTTTTTTTTTTTTTTTTGTTTTTCATAACTCAACCTATCTTTTTCAGGTTCTTCTTGGCCAGTTTCTACACAAGATACGACTTCTCTCACTTCTGCATCAATGCTTCAGTACTTGCTTTGAACCTCATCCCTAAACTTCCGCAGCTTCATGGCGTTCGCTTATTTGGCATCAACAAATATTAACACCTGCAAGTGGTGCCGACCCCGTGACGACGCAGATGACCCAACCCACACTCCCAGCCACACTATCCACTAACGAGTATCAGTTACTGCTCTGAATTCTTTCTTTGACATCATGTATAAAAAAAAAAAGAAAAAAAATTATTTTATACAAGAAACATTGAAACAGTCGCAGTGATAATGGAAGAACAATAGACTTCTATCTCTTCGTATTAGTGGGTCTTTCTTTACTTGAGTATTAATATAGAATCTGGAGGATTCGGAAGGTAGAGGATTTACTGCTGTTCTGTCTTTGAGCCTTTCTTATCAGACCTATTGATGACTTAAATGGTGCCAGTCTACAAGAGTTTCTCGACTGCCAGCTGATCAGTAGATTACAGTTTGCAAGATGTCTGGCAGGAGTCCTGTTTCTTCCGCGATATTTTTTTTTTCTCCCCTCTCTTCTTCTCTCTACTTTTTTCAATACCGATACCAGCTTGGAAAATTTCCTGGGCTCTCCTACCAATTACCTCTCTGGCAGCACATCTACCAAATTTTATCCCCTCCGCATCAATCTAAATTCTTATGGCAGTCAATGATAATTTAAAAAAGAAAAAAAAAAAAAACATTGTCAGTCTATTGAATTTTGGATGACAACTATGTTATTTTTATGACCTTTAACGACTGTCAATCTAGCTAGCTATCTGCCTACTGACCGACTGTCTCACACTTTAGCCATTAAAGTGATAGAAGACTTAAAAGGGACAAAAAAAAATTCATTAGCTATATATCTTTGTATATATCTGGTTCTATGGCTCTGTTCATATATGAAGATAAATTTTTATTTATTTACTTTTTTCTCTCTTTTTTTTTTTTTTTTTTTTTTTTTTTTTTTTAAATTTTGTCTTTCTCTTTTTCACTCCTGAGGTTCTGAAAAGTTCTCAGCCTAACCAAGAAAAGTCTGGTATTTGGTCATTTGTTCAGATTTTGGAAAGTGGATTGTGGTGGGAGCTTTTCAGCATTCCACTCCTGTAAAAATTTGAATGCATCTGAGTCTGAAGATAGTTGCATGTGTCTCCGATTACACTGATCTATAATTTTTCCATAAGTCAACTACTTCGGAAATTAAATGTGCCAATTCTTATGTATTTTGGAATGCCAAATTGGAAATTAGGCGATTGGCTTTAGATTTTGAAATATTTAGTCAGTTGTCGTACACATGACTAGAATGGATGTCTCCAAGAAAAACAAATGTTGCTTTGCAAAATCTGCTTTTGATGTTCTGTTCTATGTTGGCTACCAGAGCAATACACAAACGCACATCATGATGGCAATATATGTGTTTATTGAATAAAATACAAGCAGAAAACTCACTTTAGAAGCATATGCAGAAATAGCAATCAGTAGCATGATTGGTTGGCTCTCTTTAAAAAATCATGGACACTGCAAAGGCATAGATTTTTTTTTTTTTTTCTTTCTAGTTGACTGAGGTTTATTGCACACATATTACATTATATGGTGTGGTGCCCACATCTTGGTCTCCAATTTTGTGTCCAAAATATAGTTGGGAAGCTTTTCTCACAACAGGTGATATTTTTTCACTTTTAAGATGCAAAAATCACTTTGCCATGCTCATAGAAGTTATCAGCTTTGTTCAGACATTCATGGGGCATTTTTCACCGGTCAGTTAAATATGGGAAGGAGAACAATAATTAGTTTATTAGGAGAATAATTATATATATTAAGGTAATTAGGAGAATAATTAATTAATCTGACAAGGGCAACAATTTTGATGAAATAGTCATGTAACACTAGTAGCGTATATTGAAATCTAGAGTCAATCAACAATTTTGGATATCGTTTTTATGTCCAGTGCCCCCAAATTAGGTAAGATAGGTTATTTTCATTTTTGAAGCTTTCATGTTATAGACCAGTGTTATTAATAGTCACCGTTAATTAATAAGATAAAATAAAAATATGGAGGCTGCCTGTACTGTTAATATCTGGCCCCCAAAAAGACAAAAAAAAACTGAACAATAGATTCTGTCAGGAAACCTTTAGCATTCTACATTATTCATAAATATTACTTGTCCTTCCACTATATATAGTAGCTTACTAAATACAAACAGTAGCTTTGATCTCGATTTAAGTCAAGGCTGTTTGTTTTTTTTTTTTGCTGTTGTTATAGCAGGATGTGACAACACAATTGTGAAATTTAAGTATACTGTTATTTGGTGATTGGAGTCAACTGCAATGGCAGGACAAATGCTTTCCTTTGTGACTGAAGTTGTCTAAAATGTGTCTATGGTTAAACTAAATATAAAAAAAAAAAAAAAAAAAGAATATACACTTCCTTTTTCTCGTTAAACCTTACCTACAGATTAGCATGCCCCTTTTAATTTCTGCAAATTTTACATGAAATTTCCGTAAGCACATGGCCAGAAACTTAGAAAGTAGTATTTGCATGGAAGCTTAGAAAATGGACAAAAGCTGTAGGGATACCCTGCACGATTCTATTTTTAAACTAGATAAATCATTGGAAAGACAGAAAAGATGAGAATGGGTGGTTGTTGATGGCATTATTGAATTTAAGCATGGATATGATTACTGATTGTTATATTTTTTTTTTTTTTTTTTTTTTTTATCATGATGTTAACATGTGTACATATTTTTTGTAAATAAAAACTGCACACAATTTGGTGTTGAAAGAAAAATCTCCATTATTCCTCGAAGTTGGAAAAAAAAATGTTCCTACATGTTGATATTGGATTGTGCCACTCAGTCCCAGATAACTGTTTTCCATTATATGCGTTTTTAATTTATAGCCAATGGGTTTTTAAAAATTACTTGAAACACTTTCTTGTCTTAGGTTGGTGTTGGCATTTTTGGTTGAATATTTCTTTGTCTTCTTTCCTTGTTACTTTTGATCATAATACTTTGGGTTGATACTGGTAGAGTGAACAGTGCTGAACTGAAAATGAGGCTTCAGACAATGCTGATAAGATTTTACATAAGATGTCCAAATGAGAGAATGCACAATTGGAGTAAAAATCCACAGTTTGTAGAATTTACTTTTAAAAAGTGCTCAATACAAAGTAGAGCAAAATATTATATTTTTATTATAAGAGATTATAATAAAAACATTTCAAATCGCTACACAAAAGCTTTCATGTTTCAATACTATGATTGTACTGGTAACAGGCGATGGTTGGTAACTGGTGATAAAGTGTTTTTTATTGGGGGGGGTGTTAAAAAACAAATTTTTACTCTTTTTTTTTTTTTTTTTTTCTTCTTCTTTTTTTTTCTTCTTCTAAGTTAAAGTAGGGGGAGTGCTTTCAAATTTCCCTAAAAAATCATTTTTATCACCAGTAACCAACCATTGCCTGAGGAAGTACAATCATATTGAAGCATGAAAGCTTTTTAGAGATTTTTTTTTTTTTTTTTATTTATTATTTCTTACAATAAAAATATAATAATATTAAGATGTAATTTAATCCAATCACAGAAGCAAAGTAACTCCAAGTTAAGTGTTAGACAAATGAAAAATGACATTGAAGGACATGAAAGAGTCTGCAATTAAATGTTTTAATAGATGCAATGAAAAGTGTGGCACAGTTGAAATGAAGAAAAATAGAATAAAAACAAAGCATAGAAAGAATGGAGAAATAAGGTTGCAAAGATGCAGACTTAGCTTGATGTCCAAGTAACGAAAAATGGGTCTCTCACAGTGGCACCTTGGACTGTAAGGCTGGACAAGGAAAGATAACTCTAGTTCTGGCAGGGTAAGTAGAAGCCAGATGTAATTCACTCATGTCTTTTAGGATTTTTCAGAATTTTTTTTTTTTTTTTTTCTCAAAAATAGACGAATTATGTTCAAACTGCATAGATTAGCAAAAGACTTTTTTTTTTTTTCCAAACTGCCAGTGCAATGAGCAAATGAATAAACTGATCAGTTGAACCTCACCCAACTCTGTTAGATGCTGACAAGTTGTCATCAAAATGTAGATATTTACAATTTCCAATGCACTTTAACTCCCTGAGGTTTGAGATGCCTCAAGCAGTCAAAGATGTGTATTAGTAACAATAAAATAATAGTAAAAGACTATATTGACCCAGTGTGTTGGAGTGATGATAAAAAGCAACAATGAGAGGGAGTTTGATTAGTAACGGGATAAAATGCTTGGTTTTAGATTGCAAATTAGGGTTGGTTAAATTTCTTGGAAAACTCTACGAAGCTCATTTGACTTGGATCAGTTGAGACAAAGCAGAAAAGCAACAAATTATTTTTTTTTTTTTTTTTTCCCCACTTTGTTGATTTCCGATATTTGATGATGACCATAAAATAAACCTGGGATTTATGAATAAAGATCTTATCTATTATTTATTTTGTAATGGTTATTCTCAAATTTGCTGAATGTGAAACCTCTTTGTTTTGTTTTCTTTCTATCAAAAGCTTATTGGCTGGGAAATGAAAATGAATTTCTGGTTGCCTGCCATTAAATACTAACATCAGAAAAGGAGAGATAAACTTTGTTTTACTTTGGGGTTTTTTTTGGTTTTTTTTTTATTTTACTTTTTTTTGTTTTTTGTTTTTTATTTTACTTTGTTATTTTACTTTGTTATTTTTTATTTTACTTTGTTTTGTTTTTTTTTTTTACTTTGTTTTGTTTTTGTTTTTTACTTTGTTTTGTTTTTTTTACTTTTTTTTTTTTTTTTTTTACTTTGTTTTTTTTTTTTTTTTTTTTACTTTGTTTTTTTTTTTTTTTTACTTTGTTTTTGTTTTTTTTTTTTTTTTTTTTTTTTTTTTTTACTTTTTTGTTTTTTTTTTTTTTTTTTTTTTTTTTTTTTTTTTTTTTTTTTACTTTTTTTTTACTTTTTTTTTTTTTGTTTCCTGGTTAGCACTTTCTGCTTTTTCTCTAAACTTCCCTGCAGGAAAAAAAAATATATATCTTGTTTCATATAGATTGTATATTTTTTGCAATCAGACTATAATCAGTCACCTTAAACAGGTCCTAAAAATTAAAAAAAAAACAAAAAAAAAAACATTTTTATGAAAATAATAAAAATGCAATAAATAAGTTTAATGTGTTAAAATACTTGTATTTAACTCTTTCCTTACTGGTCACTTTGAAGATCAAACAAAATTTAGTTTAAACCAGTGATATTTTTTATCAGGTTAATATGGTATCTCATGACTAATATATATATATATATATATATATAAATATAAAAAAAAACAAACACTGCCAAAAAAAGATTTCTTTCTTGGATCTTACATGTGAAGTTGAGATAAGTATTAATCTCTTCCTCGGCACAAATATGTTGAGTTTGGGTAGAGTACAAACCATTAAATAGGATGTTTATTCTGAATATTATTAACTTCAAATGGCTTTTATTTCTTCCTGCTTAGCCAAACGTTGAAGAGGCAAATGGGATGGGGGCGGTAGTGTATTGAAAAGGTTGATTTGCTTCAGACATAATTCAAATTATGACTCACTGACCAGGGATCATCATTTGTACATGAAAGTAACCATTCACGTATTTGTTACATCAAACAGATGCATGTCACTCCTTTATTT